ATTTCATCTAAATAGATTTTCATAAGATTAAAAAGTAGGAAATAATAACTATTAAAAAATACATCTTTTCTTCAATTGGATTAAAAAAGAGTAAATAAATTTTTGTTTAGATTTGATTCATTTGAGCTTAATTTTAGCTGAGGTTAGAACACTGAAAAAAGAACACTAAAAAGGTTAGCTACACATTAGCTAACATTAGAGAAAATCAAACAAATTAGGACAATAATAAAGGTAAAACAATTTATAGGAAAAAAGTCACCTTTTCAGTGTTCTTGCGTTTCAATAAATTTAAAAGATATAAAGACTTTAGAAATTACAAGGAACATTTTTATAAAATTAAGCTCAAATGGTTCAAATCTAAAGAAAAACCTATTTTCTCCTTTTTAGTCTAATTAAAGAAAAGGTGTATTTTTTTAATAATTATTTAAAAATCTTGATGAAGGTCCTTAAGTCCTACTCTAGCAGGTCTTTAAGGTTCAACAGTGTTATTCCAAGATAAAATTAAATGTGTTTGTCTCTTTATGGTATAGCTAAGTTAAGATATGTCTTTCAAGTGAAAATATGCGTTGTTAAAATTCAGTTTATCCTTTGTTCCTTCTCAACAATTCCAAGTCAAGCCTTACTCTTTTCCATGGTTTTCCTTTCATTGTGCTACTGCAATTTCCAATTGTAACCATTACTTTCATATCTATAAGCAAAACAATTCTCCAAAAAACAGATATCTGTTTACTACTGCTAGAAACCATTGTAAAAAGGTTTTGTCTAACGCTTGAGCCCACTATTCTAAAGTTGCGAACTCTCATATTTCATCTAAAAAATTAGGTTCTTGTGACTTTTTAGACTTTACCTCTGATAAAACTCAATTTTTTTCAGCTAGTTGTTATCACAATAATCTAGATCTTTCTATATTTATTAATGAAAATGTATTCAATGAGTCATCTACCCTTCATCTTCTAGAATTAACTCTTACTTCTGATCTTTCTTATAAACTATATATCAAATCAGTTGCAGAATTCTCTTTAACATGCTCGCCTCTTTTTTACTCAGGATTCAATTCTTTATTTTTATAAATCTCAAGCCTGTCTTTGTATGGAGTACTGTTGCCATATCTGGGCAGATCTTTCAAAGATGGCCTTTCTCATTTAGACAAGATGTGAAAACGCATAGTAAACATAGTTGGACTTGCTTTTACAGCCAACCTACAACCATTATCACATTGTACATGGTAATGTTGCTTCTCTTTCTTTTTTCTATATATACTATAATGGGCACTGCTCTAAAGAGCTAGCGTCTCTTGTGCCATCTACTAAAATTCATATTCGTGTTACTTGTCATTCAATTAGGTCTCATCATTCGTTTTCCTCTAACTTCAGTCCTTTAGAATTCCTATTTTTGTCTTTTTTTCCTGATTCATATAATTTTTTCTTTTAAGTTGTCTGTTAATTGTTATCTTATTCTATAAATTTCATCATTTTCTCTTCCAGTAACTTCCAACTCTAATAGTGGTTGCTTGCAGCCTTGTAGATGTTGGAAAGTAAAAAATAGTTAAAATGCGATCTATATAAGTTAAGATACGAGTGTTAACTGGACCTAATGTAAAAAGTATTCAAATCAAAATGCTGCATTAAATGGTTTGAATCAAATGTCTCAATAAAGTTTTCAGTTACCTTATTTGTGGTGTTTGAAGTGTATTTAGACCATGTGATCCAGTTCAAGTCAGGTTCAGAATCATCATGATCACCCTGCTTCTGGTATAATGTACACAATACTACCTGCCCAATACCTTAATGCATTGTAAGGTTTGCTTTTTGAGCCAAATGCTAAAAGAAATAAACTAAAATAAAATAAGATTTAAAATTCCCTGCCTTGGGTTGGTTGAGTAAAGGCTAGAGATAGTGTCCTCATAAAAATACTCAGCTTGCGCAGATATTAACTGAACACATCTACTGTTTTGTAGATAGCCTCCTAGGCAAATCTTTAAAGGTAAGCAGAATAATTCTGTTGACCAGCCCCGCACTACTACTTCATCTATTAGGCTGGAATAGATGTAAGCCTGTGTTACATTGTTTCCTTCCTAGGACAAGGAATGCTGGATCTTCTTGACTCATAGATTTTTGCTTTCGCTTCATTGATATTGGCTATGCAACTCTCTATTTTATCTCCTAATGCTTTCAGGGAATATTATTCTATCAACAGCTGTAATATATCGAAGTATTAACAGTGCCATATTGCGCATGGATAGTGTCCCTGTAGTATTTTGATATGCATTGTCAGGGCCACATAAGATGCGCTAAGTTATGGCTTTGTGTTAATTAACAGGACTGAGACAACTGCATAGCTCATTGCTTGGGATGCCGTACTCTATCTATAAATGTGTCAAGTTCTCTTTAAGGTTAAAGGATGCCTAAACTAACCAAGAATATCAAACATTTAAAACCATCACCACCACCTTACTATTGTAAAAAATCTTTTACAAATATTTGCTGTCTTTAAAGTAACATTACATCAGTTGAATCTTACCTCTTGCAAAGTTCACCAGACTTGCTTGTTCTTTATGAGACTAATTTAAATTTGGCTGTTCCTTATTTAAATTTTAGTATTGATAGGTACTGGTTCCAATTATTACTTACAATTAGATGGAGGTTCTAATTTTTAAAAACTCTGATGTAAACTCTGACCCCTCTATCTATTGCCTGATCAGTCTTCTGTTATTAGCAAAGTCTTTGAGTTTTTGAGCAATAATTTTTTAACATCCCATCTTGAGCCTAACATTTTAATGTCTGACGACCAATATGGTTTTCATTCTGCTCATTCTATGGCTGAATTGCTAATAGCATTGACTAAAAGATCGCACATTAAATGGAGGCGGCAAGGTAAGGGCTTTTGCTCTCGACGTCTAAAGCTTTTGATGGAGTTTGGCATGCTGGTCTTTTCCATAATCTTGTATCATATGGTGTATTTTTGAGATAATCAGATCATTTCTTTATAACTGCAATGTTAAATTCATCCTCTAAGGCCAACACTCTATTTCATATCCAGTATCTTCTGGGTACCTCAAGGTTCTGTTCTTGGTCCTGTTTTGTTTCTTATCTATATCAATGATCTTCCTGACAACCTTACATTTAAAGTGGTTCTATTGGCTGGTGACTCAACTTTATACTCCTGTCTTGATAAAAGTCTTCTCTTTTTGATCATTTAGAACAGGCCAATCTTTATTCTCTTTCCTATTGATGTAAAGTTGCATCTCTTTCTCTTTTCTACAAATACTATCATGTTCACTGTTGCTGCTCAAATAAGTTATTATCTCTAGTTTCATTAACCAAAACTCATACTCACTTAACTCATAATTTAGTAAAGTTACTTACTTTTACTGTTTGTGTTCTTTTATGCTCTAAAATCTTTTATTTATCTACTTTTATTACCTGAATCTCAATGCTTTTGAACTCACTTCCATTTTTATGTTTTCCTGACTCATATAATTTTCAACTTTTCAAGTCTTCTGTCAACCACTTTCTTGCTCTTTCTATGTTTTCTAGCAACTCTATTCTATGTTTTCTAATAACTCCTAACTTAATAGTTGTTGCTTTCTTTCTTGTTGGTAGTGAGGTAAAGTTAAAAAAATATATATGACCTGAGAAGTGTTCTTTTTTGACTAAATCAGAAGCAAAATTTTAAGAAGCTATTATTTGGTCATTTACAAGGTCATTGCCTTGTAAATAACAAAAATATAGCTGAAAGGTATATACAACCAACTAAATTTTTTCAATTCCAAAATTAGCCAAACACCAAACTTGTTCACAGTCAGTATTGTTAAGTTTGAGTAGGTGATGCGTTTAAAATTTAAATAAGACTTTACAGCAAGTTTTACCGTGTTTAACAAGGTTGCGTTTAAAATTATTCAAGTGTTGTGTTATTAATAATTATTATTTTTATATTTTTAATGATTCTGTTTTGAACTGATTTAAGTTTTAATTCTGTTTTAACTTCTAGGATCTTGTTTCTTTCAAGAGACAAATCCCAAACTCCATTATCCCATGTGACTCTACCACTACGGGTGACAATGAAAAGGTTAACCTTTTGAATCACTTTCAATTTTTTCACTGCTTGTTACATTCTATACATAATAATGTTGATTGCCTCTGTTGAGAAAGAGTTTCATCAGGATTGATGTAAATGCCATATTTAACATTAAGTCTCAGTTTATGGGCAATTTTGAGGTTCATATTTCTTTCTTATGCATTGTTCAAAACTACTTTTAATGGACCTGCTTGGGCTGAGGTGTTTTAAAAGCATCTAAAAGCAACATGTTAACACTCAACATTTAGTTTGTTTAAGACTGATGTAACGAGGATTTTATCGTGTTTGTTATAGTCAGCTGCTACTGAAGATGATGTCTCTGTTTCAAAATTAACAATATTTTATGTTTTTTTTCTCTTTCCTGGACATTACATGCATTTGCCTCAAGAGTTATTATATTTTCATCATCCAGTTAAGCATTTGATCTGGTTACTTTGCCTCTTCCTAAATAAGCTGAGGCCTATTTGAAGTTTGTTAGGTTCTCAAGTTAGGAAGAAAATAATGCTAACATCTGTGACCTGCTGTTCTTCTGGTGCTGTTATTTTCACTTCTTGGGTAAGTTTTTCTTTTCAAAGTAGACATATCATCTCTAAGCATATGAATTTCCTTCATCTTAGTTTTAAATACAAGAAACTCATCCATGTTCTTTGTTTTTACTTAAAACATATGCAACTGAATTAGTTTTCAGTTATGTGGTTGACATTTCTGTTTTTTGACAAAATTGCCTTGTGATGTTTTTAATTTTTAATCAGGCTATATATTATATTAGTTAACCTTATTTGACAGGGAGTAAAAAGTTTGAGTAAGTATTTTTTTCTGTATTTTACAAGAGTTTTTTACTGTTTCTATAACAATTTAATTATAAATTTGAATTATAAAATGAAATCTTTGTTGTAAGAAATTTTTTTCAATTTTCTTTTTAGACCTGGAAGCGTATATGTAACATCAAGGTTAACTTTTACAGGTGTCAATGATTCAATTAAACTGCAAATTTATAATGCATTTCTACAAAGTAGTGTAATAGATTCATTTAAACAACTAAATGTGCTAAATGCTCAGTTAACTAGTTTAGGTATTTATTTTAATTTTTATATATTAGAGTTGTTTTAATGTATTTTCAGTATAAATATAAGTTATATTATGTAAAGTTAGCATGCGTTTTATTAAAAGTTATATTACGAAAAGTTACCATGCGTTTTATAAAAAGTATGTATGGAAATTTAAAAAAAAAATGTTTTAAAACATTTCAAAAATCAATGTTTTTAAATATAAAAAAATTTTGTAATTTTACAAATAAAGTTCAAAACATTTGAGTTTGTGTGTGATAAAAGTTTTTAAAACCATATATATATATATATATATATATATATATATATATATATATATATATATATATATATATATATATATATATATATATATATATATATATATATATATATATATATGTATATATGTATATATATACATATATATATATATATATATATATATATATATATATATATATATATATATATATATATATATATATATATATATATATATATATGTATATATGTATATATGTATATAAAAATGAGATTATATATATATATATATATATATATATATATATATATATATATATATATATATATATATATATATATATATATATATATATATATATATATATATAAAGATTATATATATATATATATATATATATATATATATATATATATATATATATATATATATATATATATATATATAAAGATTATATATATATATATATATATATATATATATATATATATATATATAAAGATTATATATATATATATATATATATATATATATATATATATATATATATATATATATATATATATATATAAAGATTATATATATATATATATATATATATATATATATATATATATATATATATATATATATAAAGATTATATATATATATATATATATATATATATATATATATATATATATATATATATAAAGATTATATATATATATATATATATATATATATATATATATATATATATATATATATATATATATATACATATATACATATATACATATATACATATATATATATATATATATATATATATATATATATATATATATACATATATATATATATATATATATATATATATATATATATATATATATATATATATATATATATATATATGTATATATGTATATATGTATATATGTATATATATACATATATATATATATATATATATATATATATATATATATATATATATATATATATATATATATATATATATATATATATATATATATATATATATATATATATAATCTTTTAAGCTGAAGACGCTGGGTCACAACAATCCAGCGAAAATTTCTTTTAAAAAATAAAAATAACTTTAGTATTGAGAGGAAAATCGTATTTATTGATGTTTATAAAATAATAATAATAATAATAATAATATATATATATATATATATATATATATATATATATATATACACACACACACATATAGTATATTATGCACCATTCCACTGCAAGTCAGGCTATTTGTCAGTCGATGTATGTGCTGTATATATGTATGAGCACTGTATATATGTATATATATATATATATATATATATATATATATATATATATATATATATATATATATATATATATATATTCATATATATTCATGTATATTTTTATATAAACATTTTCATGATCAACATAATCATCATAATTGTCATCATTGACATCATCAAGTTTTAGCCTTCCTCTTTTGTGGTGTTTCTCTAATATGAACATCTCAAACATCTTCTTTCCATAAAAAGCTCCTTTATACCATATGTAAAAAGCTCCTTTATACCATATGTAATGCACTCTCTTCAAATTTTATTATATTTAACTATTTTCTCCTGCTATCTCTAATGCTAGTAACCAAACCTTTTTAATTTTTTTTGACAAACTTTTCTTTGATACAATGTTTTTTCTTATATCTAAGATTTTGGCTCTTGTACTTATTAGGATCATTCCACACATCCATTTGATCATCATTTTCTTTTTCAGGTAATAATACTAAACTATATAAATTTTTTATTAATTAGTAGAGTATTGTATGCCAGCATATAAATAAATAGCAAACATATATTTTTATGTTCATATGTATTGTTTTTTAAAACGCCTTTAACCTAGCCTCCTAGATCCAAGCAGGTATTGAAGTTTTTACTCTTTTTTGTCAGTTAAAGTCATGCCTCATTCTACTCCAGGTTTTTCACTTTCTTGTACAGTTGTTATACTTAACCGTTATCATTTTTTTAATCTTTTTACAAGAATATCTCTCTTGAGAATAAATATCATTTTATTATCGCAAGAAATCTTTGCAAAATTGTCCTATCTGGTGCTAAGCTCCGTTATTCTCAGTTTACTAACTCTTTTTTAGTTCTGATGTTAAGTGATGTGTTCTGAAGTTAAGTGATTAGTTCTGATGTTAAGTGATGTCTCTCTGATTTTAACTGGCCTATGTGAAGGGTGCAACTAATTATAAGTCATTTCTTAGTAAAAAGAAAGATATGGTTGGTTGCCCTCTCCTTGAACTTGTCTTTATAGTAGATAGGGGCACAAATAAAGGGAGCAATAGTTTTTTAAAGACCATCATTATGGTTCAATATTTAGATACTTAATATTTAAATATCTAAATTAATTTTATATTGAAAGCGTTATTTTTTTAAATTCTATTTTATTATAGGTGATCAGTGGTCTGTATATGATTTGGTCAGTAATTATCCCCCCTCACCCCTAAGGTGGGTGTAAGGGGAAGAGGGGATTTGGGATGGTACTAATTAAAGGGAGGGGGGCAGCCAACTTTTAGTATTTTAATTACTTGTTATTAATGCCCTTTTAAGACCATAACGTTGTATATTTGCTGGAAAATCTGGCACACATAGTCTATGTTAGTCACTATCAAAATTCCAATCTTATGGTAACCCGCTAGGTTTTCTTCAAATTGTTTGAAATATAATGATTTGAATTATAATGATTTGATTTTAAAGTTTTTTAAAATTGGAACCAGTTTTGATTTTAAAAGACTTTAAAATATACATTGACTTTTTCAACTAACCCCCAATTAGTCTTCTCTCTATTATTAGTTTCTTTATATAAAGGTTTTAAGATTATTAAACCATTTCTTTCCAACCGCAGTATTCAATGAAGGCCTCTGCAGTTTTCTTGAAGGCCTCCACTCTTCTTCATTTCTAGTAACTTTAAAGGTATCGCAAGGTTCTCTCTTTGCTCCTGTATTGTTTTTTATCTACAATAACGATCTTTCTGACAATCTTACATCTAAAGTGATTTTATTTGCAAATGACACAACTTTATAATCTTGTTTTGACAAAAAGTTTTAACTTTTTGATTGCTCAGAATAAGCATCTGATCTTCAATCTGATTTTTTTTCTGTAACAGCTGGTGGCTTTCAGTTGCTTGTAAATTTTAATTCCAAAACAACTTAGTTATATACTGGAAACAACTATCACAATATTTTTGGCATTCCTATAATGACAATAAACAACCCTCTCAGACAAAGTCCAAAAGCTCATTGTAAATGTAGTTTTATCTGCCAAGTTTGAACTGCCATATTTTACACAATCTCCCATTATCATATCTCTTACTTTTTCCTAATTTTTTCCTTTCTAGTTGTATCATAAAAACTCATTTTTGCTTGGCTTAGTCTTCAGTTAACCGCCTACTTGTTCTTTAACGCTATCCTTTGTTTTCTAGTAACTCCTAACTTAATAGTGGTTGCTTGTAACTTTGGTGGTAGTGAATTAATTTCAATATATATATATATATATATATATATATATATATATATATATATATATATATATATATATATATATATATATATATACTAATAAACATATGCCAATATTTAATAAATAGTAAATGTATGTATAAATTTATAAAATATAAAATATTATAAATTTTTTACTAGTCCTGGCTATTAATTCCTACTAAATCTTATAATTTAGCCAGGGCAAGGGCAAGGTTTTTAAAAAGTACTATCTTTAGTGAGGGCCCTGGCTTTGGTCACTTTCTATTCCTAACTTCAAGTTTTATTATTATTATTTTTTTTTAATTAAAAAATAAAAGTAAAATTTTTTATATATGCTTCTATTTCTCATGTTTTATTATACTTTTTTTTATAGACTATTGTCCACAGAGTGTTTTTGGTGAGGCAAATTATAAAGGAGAATATATATTTGAAGTAACAGGTGTTGATCAATTTGTTACTAAAAATTGTACTTATCAAACTAAAGGAGTTTTTTATAGAAAATGCATTGGGAATCTTAAAGATGGACCAGCCTGGGACACTCCTGATTTATCACCATGTGATCCAAAAACTCAAACAACGAAGATTTTAGAGTATTTAAGCAAGGTTATTTTTATTGAAGCTTATTAACCTAGGAATAATTTTTTTTTTTAATTTAATTATTTTTTTAGTAATTTTCAAACATTTGAATAATTTCTTTAAATATAAGATATTTGTATTTATTTAAAGCTAAATATTTATAAATTTTATTGCTAAATTTAAAATTCGTTTTGAGAAACTGTTCAATAGAACACTTTTTTTTTAAGTTAATTTTTGGCACCATTTGTTAAGTTTTTATTTGCTAACAATCAAGGCCTATTTCTTGGCAGGGCTGCCGAGAGGGAGTGGGGCACCGGGACAGTTTGTCCTGGGCGGCAGATATCCAAAGGGCGCCAAATGAAATGTAGGTACTTAAAAAAAAAAAAGATTGTTTGATAAATAAGACCGCCAATCAGAATTGCTGTCCCAGGTGGTATGACAGCTTTTGGCGGCCCTGTTTCTTGGGGTAAAAGATGTTAAAATTTGTTTGTGACAGGGACAGATGCAGCATCTTTTGGTGAGATGTACTAATTTGACATTAGTAATTTCAAAATTAAGTTAAGTGTTGATCTTGGTCTTAGTTGCAAATGACAGCCTATGTCATGCAGCATTCTAGTATGATGTTATCAGATATTATTATCATGCATAATAACATCACATAAGATTGTTGCATACATTTCTATTATGGTGAGAAGTGTCCAAAGATACTTAATATTATATTATTGAATGTAAAGATTATATTAAATAATTGCTAAATACAGAATAAATTTTTAAAAAGCCAATGGTTTTTCAAATATTTTTCAAAACAACTGTTGATACAGTTAATTTACTTAAGAAATGAGCAATTAGTTAATTCTAATTGGTAGTGAATCCTTGGTTAATAAATATAAGACAAATTTAGTGGTTTATTGTATTTATTCCAAAAAATAAATTGCACAATTGTTATCATTTGAAAATGTTATTTAATTGCTCTTTTATCTAATACCAAAATTATGATCACATTGGTGTAAACACATAGTTTTAGTAAAGTAAATGCTTTTATCTAATACCAAAATTATGATCACATTGGTGTAAACACATAGTTTTAGTAAAGTAAATGTTTTTATCTAATACCAAAGTAAAATTCACATTGGTGTAAACACATAGTTTTAGTAAAGTAAATGCTTTTATCTAATACCAAAGTAAAATTCACATTGGTGTAAACACATAGTTTTAGTAAAGTAAATGCTTTTTGTAAAAATTCAACTTGCGTATTTCTAAAATAATAAAGGTTTTTTTGAATCATGCTTTGTTAAAATTGTTTCTTTTTTGTTAATGAAACAAGTTCAATGCTGTTATAAATTTTTAAACACAATATTGTAATAGCTTTATAAACAAACTCTTGATATAATTTTTTTTTTAATTATGTTGTTATAACTTTTTAAACAAAATGTATTTATAAGTCTTTTAACAAAATGTTATACCTTTTTAAACAAAATATTGTTATAACTTTTTAATCAACATGTATTTATAATTTTTAAAATAAAATATTGTTATAACTTTTTAAAGATAATGTTATTATAAATTTTAAAAAAAAATGTTTTTACAACTTTTTCACATAATATTGTTATAACTTTTTAAAAATAATGTTGCTATAACTTTTTAAATATAATATTGTTATAACATTTTAAACAAAATTGTTATAACCTTCTTTACATATTGTTTTTACAACTTATTAAGTAAACTGTATTTATAACTTTTTTAACAAAATAACTTTCTTAACATATTATTATTTAAGTTTTTAAACAAAGTATTTTTATAATTTTTTTAACAAAATATTGTTATAACTTTTTAAACAAATTGTTGTTAAAAAATTTTAAACAAAATGTTGTTACAACTTTTTAGTTATTACAATAATTTGTTTAAAAATTTAGTTTTTGTAAACATCTCAATGTAAAAAGAGTATAAACTATATACTCTATTCATAAATAAAAATAATAAAAAAAATATGTTTATAATTTTTAATTTTTTTTTTTTTGAAACTTCCTGCTTTGATGATTATAATAATATAAATTTATTCTTTACTGCGTGAAAAATTAAAAAAAAATTGATAGATATAGGTTCTATTTATTAATAGTAATAACAATAACAATAAAAATTAAAAAATTTTTGATCTAAGAATAGTGTAAAATCTATATCTATAATATAAGAATAATAAGAATTAAGGTAAAATGCTTTGTTAGGAAATCTCATCCATTATGATTTAAAGTTGATTAAATTTTTTTAGCAAAAGATCTGTGTAGACAGTTCAATGATAAACTGTTCACTAATAAATGTTGTATCGAAGAATCTTAGTGATGCTGTTGCGAATGGATCTGCAATAACTAATTACCACGATGTCAATTTTATTTCTAAAGTTTTAGAGATAATTGTTAGCATGTTTCCTAATGCTACTGGTGCATCAATGCAGGTAGTTGTTTTGTACCATATAAGTGTTGCACAAGTTATTATACAAAATTGGTTTCTTTTTTAAAAAGGTAACTAAATTTTTGTTATCTTATGCATGTTTTTTTTTAGGTTTTTATAGACGTTTTAAAAACAATTGATGTTGTCCTAGAATCAAATGGAACATATATTGCAGAATCACAAATTAAAACATCTTCTTCAACAAGTATTTTGAACACTCTTACAGAGTTTGCGTTAATTTATTCTAAACAACTTAGTAATCCCATTTCTATTGGTAAAAGAAATATTGGATTCTATATTGGTAAAGTAAAAAAAAGTTACCTAATAATTTCAGCGCATCAGTTACCAAACAACAGTGTTGAAATAAGTTTTAACAGCATTGCTGATTTTTCTAATAAAACATATGCAGTCATGAAATTACCTAGTGATGTTTTTAGCAATGAAAATGAAGTTGTTTATTCATATTTCTTTCGCTATGATTCTTTTTTATTAAATGAGGATAATTTATTAAAGCTTGCAGAAAAAAATACTTCCAATAAAAGTTTTCTTCAAAGTACAATCCTATCTGCAACTGTTGCAAATAAAAATGTTTCTAATCTGAGTAATCCAATTATTTTAACATTTAAAAAAATGCATCATCAGGATCTGGGTACCAGCAGTTGTAATTATTGGGATAAAAACTTTGGTAAACGAATTTTTTTTATGTTAACTTATTTGATAAAAAAAATATTTACAATTTTAAATGATTGTAAATGATATATATTGTATTGTTATGCTATTACATGTAACGAAAGTTTGTTGTCTGATACTGGTGCAATTTTTTTTTTTTTTTTTTTTTTTTTTTTAACATCTTCACTTCCAACAAGGCTGCAAGCAACCACTATAAGAGTTGGAAGTTACTGGAAGAGAAAAGACTAAATCTGTAGAGCAAGATAACGATTGACTGATGACTTAAAAGATTGCAAATTATATGAATCAGGAAAGCAAGATGAAGGAAGCGAATTCCAAAGAACTGATGTTCGAGGAAAAAAACTAGAAGAATAAGAGTTTTTGAAGCACTTAGGAACAGTCACAGAAAAAGGATGAGACTTAATTGAATGGCGAGTAACACGAGAATGAATTTTAGTAGATGGCACAAGAGACGCTAGCTCTTTAGAGCAGTGCCCATTATAGTATTTGTAAAAAAGAGAAAGAGAAGCAACATTACGACGATGTGACAAAGGTTGGAGATTGGCTGCCAGAGCAGGTCCAACTATGTTTACAATTCGTTTTTGCACCTTGTCTAAAAGAGAAAGAGCATCATTAGAAGATCCGCCCCAGATGTGGCAACAGTATTCCATACAGGGACGGATTTGAGATTTATAGAGATAGAGAATAGAATCTGGAGTAAGAAAGTGTCGAGCTCGATAAAGAGATGCAACCTTAGCAGATGCTAATTTTGCAATGGATTTGATATACGGTTTAAAAGAAAGATCAGAAGTAAGAGTTAATCCTAGAAGATGAATGGTAGATGACTCATCTAGTACATTACCATTCATAAATATAGGAAGATCTAACTTATTACGATAACGATTGGCCGAATAAAATTGAGTTTTATCTGAATTAAAGTTCACCAGCCACTGTGAGCCCCATGCTGTAGCAGAAGTGAGATCCTTTTCAAGCTCAGATACCCCCTCCAAGCAATCAGAGAGTGTAGGCTTCTTATCATGACAAGAGTAAATGGTAGTGTCGTCAGCGAATAATGCCACCTTAGATGTGAGAATATCTGGAAGATCGTTAATGTAAATTAAAAAGAGTATAGGGCCAAGGATTGAACCTTGAGGAACCCCTGAAGTTACAGGATGTGAAGAAGAGTGTTGTCCATCGAGGACAACTTTTATACTACGATTGGAAAGAAAGGACTCAATAATCTTAAAGACGTTACCAGCTACACCATAAGAAGAAAGCTTATGGAGAAGACCAGCATGCCAAACTTTATCAAAAGCTTTAGAAATGTCAAGTGCGATAGCCTTAACCTCTCCACCTCTATCTAATGCACGGTAAAACCTATCGGTTATTACTGTTAGCACATCAGCTGTAGAACGAGAAGACCGAAATCCATATTGATGATCAGAAAGTAAGTTATTTGATTCAAGATGAGAGATTAAGTGTTTGTTGATTAAAGATTCAAAAACCTTGCTTATGACAGGAAGAAGACTAATGGGACGGTAGTTAGATGAATCAGATCGCTCTCCGGAATTTTTGAAAATAGGGATAACAGATGCTGCTTTCCAGCATGATGGAAAACAAGACTCTGATAAGCACTTGTTAAATAGTTTAGAAAGTATGGATGAAAGCTCCGGAGAACACCTCTGCAAGACTACAACAGGAATGTTGTCAGGACCACAAGCTGTTGAAGAGTCTAAGCAGGAAATTACTTTTGATACAGAAGCTGAAGTGATGCGAATGTCAAGCAAGGGATCAACCTGTTTGACAGGTTGAATTCAGTGATCAAATTTTTAACACAAATGTAGAGCATAAATATTCAGTTAATGGCATAAATGTGCAGCATAAATTTTTAGTGCAACCACATAATTGTGCCGCATAAGTTTTTAGTTAACCAAATAAATATGCAGCATAATTTTTCAGTTAAGCAAATAAATGTTCAGCATAACATAAAATAATCATAAATTATTAAAAGCATTTTTTTTTTTAAGTTTGCTTACATTTCAAAATAATAGTGATTATTTTACAAAATTTTTAAGATCGCATTGAGAGGTATACAATTGTGGAGTTTTATAGATTTATGTTATAAATAATAATTTTTTATAAAAAATATACACCAATTTGCTCTTGAATATTTTTAATAAACATTTTTATTATTTTAGATATATAATGATAGTTTATTCAGTATATATTAGAATTCCATATAATTAAAAAACCTCTAAAACATTTTTTAACTATTTGTTAACTAATCCGACAAAGTCCTAAAATAATCAGCCGTTTAGATACTGAAATAACCGGTTGTTTGTACCAACTTCAAAACTGTAGCACTAATTTTATGTTTTAAATGAGGTCTTTAATGTTGGACTGTACAGTTACACAATTGCAACACTATTTGTATAGTATATAAATTGTTTCAACTTGTGAAAAAACAGTAAGTTTAATACATAGTTTTAAAAACAGTAAGTTTAATACATAGTTAAAGTAAAATTAATAGTCAGAAAACTAAAAACCTTTAAAAACTAAAAAAAATTGCAAAGTAAAAAAATACCTGCTATATTTTTGATAAACATAATTTTAGATTTCATGTTTTATAACAGGTAATTACCGTTATGTCCAATGTATAATTCGTATGAAAAAAACACAATGGTAAATACCGTTATGTTTTTTTCATACTAATTAATTTTTTTTTCATTAATTTCCCTATTTGTTGTTAAATCAGGTTTGAATCCTTTGACCATTCTTTTATGTGCTTTCGCCTAGCACCTCTTCACTCTATCACCTTTCTCTTTGTTCTTTATCGTTCTCCTTCTTCCCATGATTGCACTCTTTTAGATGTTATCTCTGATCAAATTGACTTCTGCGTTTCTCAATCTCTTACTCAGATAGTTAACTTTGTGACTCGTTTTCCTGACAACCCTAATCATTTACCTTCACTCCTTGACTTATGTCTTGTCTCTGACCCTAGCTTATGTTCAGTTTCTCCCTTTTCTCCCTTAGGTGGTTCTGACCATGCAATGATCTCTATAAATCTTTCTTCTCGTACTTCTTTTTTGGGCTCACCTTATCATCGCACCACCTACTACTACCCTAAAGCTGACTGGGATTCCTTTCGTGATTTTCTTCGTGATGGTCCTTGGGCTGATGTCTTTTCTCTCTCAGCTGACAAATGCGCCTCCTAGGTAACCTCCTGGATTCAGGCTGGAATGGAAGCTTTTATTCCTTCGCGTCGGTTTCAAGTCAAGCCTCATTCTACTCCATGGTTTTCTCCTTCTTGTGCGGCTGCTATATCCAATCGTAATCATTTTTTTTATCTTTTTCAAAAGAACAACTCTCTTAAGAACAAAGGGCTATTTATTATTGCAAGAAATCGATGTAAAAAGGTGCTTTCTGATGCTAAACTCCATTATTCTCAGTTCACTAAATCTCGCATCTTATCGCAGAAGTTAGGCTCTAAAGACTTTTGGAAAATCTTCAACAACATTGTTAACAAGGGTAGATCTAACATTCCATCTCTCATTCATGGGACTGATCTTATTACCTCTCCCAAGGATAAGGCAGAACTATTTGCAAAGAACTTTTCTTCTAATTCCACTCTTGAATCTTATGGACATTCTCTTCCTTCCATTCCAGTCAAACAGGTTGACCCATTGTTAGACATTCAAATCACTCCGGCTTCTGTTGCTAAAGTCATATCTCAATTAAACTCGTCTACAGCTTGTGGTCCAGACAACATTCCTGTCACAGTCTTGCAGAATTGTACTCCAGAACTTTCTTCAATTCTCTCTAAACTATTTAACAAGTGTTTGACTGAGTCTTGTTTTCCTGCTTGTTGGAAATTGGCATCTGTGGTTCCAATATTCAAAAACTCTGGAGAAAATTCTGACCCCTCCAATTATCGTCCGATCAGTCTTCTTTCTGTTATTAGCAAGGTCTTTGAGTCTTTGATCAACAAATTCCTCACATCTCATCTTGAGTCAAATAAACTGCTGTCAGACAATCAATACGATTTTCGATCCTCTCGCTTTACGGCCGACTTGCTAACTGCTGTAACTGAAAGATTTTATCGTGCATTAGATGGAGGCGGTGAGGCTAGGGCTATTGCTCTTGACATATCTAAAGCTTTCGACAAAGTTTGGCATGCTGGTCTTCTCCATTGCTTCATATGGTGTTTCTGGGAAAGTTTTTGAGATTATCAAATCATTTCTTTCTAACCGGTTTATTAAAGTCATCCTTGAAGGCCAACACTCTTCTTTATTTCCAGTAACTTCTGGGGTTCCCCAAGGTTCCATCCTTGGCCCTGTTTTGTTTCTTATCTACATAAACGATCTTCCTGACAACCTTTCATCTAAAGTAGCTCTTTTCGCTGATGACTCAACTTTATACTCCTGTCTTGACAAAAAGTCTTCTCTTTACGATCGCCTAGAACAAGCAGCTGATCTTGAATCTGATCTCACTCTAAAAAAACCCAATTGCTTACTGCAAACAACTACCGTAATATGGTCAACATTTCTATGTTAATGAATGGCAATCCTCTTACTGAGTCCTCCTCTTTACGTCTTTTTGGATTATCGCTTACTACTGACCTTTCATGGAAACCATATATACAATCGATTGCTAAATTAGCTTCTGCTAAGGTTGTTTCTCTTTATCGTGCTTGCCATTTCCTTACTTCTGATTCCATTCTCTACCTCTACAAATCTCTTATTCGTCCCTGTATGGACTACTGTTGTCATATTTGGGCTGGTTCTTCTAATGATTCACTTTCTCTTCTTGACAAGGTCCAAAAACGCATTGTAAATGTTGTTGGACCTGGACTATCTGCTAAGCTTGAACCTCTTTCCCATCGTCGTAAAGTTGCATCTCTTTCTCTTTTCTACAGATACTATCATGGTCACTGCTCAAAGGAGTTATCATCTCTAGTTCCATCAACTAAAATTCATTCTCGTTTTACTCGTCATTCAGCTAAGTCTCACTCGTTTA